ATATTATACAGTATATAGTGAATATTAAATGCTGGTTTGGTTCAGAATGTGGTTTTGTTAGAAAAACACATGGAGCCTTAAAGGCCTAGCATTTCTTGGAGGAATGCATTAATATCAGCCACCATTCATGCCAGATCAGACCGAGATCATCCTATGCTGAGGAAAAGATGGAGTTGTTTTGGTCAAACATTTTTAAAATGTATCATACAATATTGCTAGATGTCACACTTTAAAATATGTGCTGTGAACGACTCTTCTCAACTGCAACATCACATTTTAGATCAATATCTGCATAGCATTTTTTAGTGTTGAATTAATCGCAGTTGGGAATAAAGGGATAGGGTGCATGTAGGAGCATTGCAGGTGCCGTTAGAGTGCCAACACGTTTTTTTGTTTTGTTTTGTTTTTGTTTTTATTTGTTTTAGCTTTATGGTAATATCTCACTTGGTTGCAACTATCGGAGACAACTTGGTGAGCTACATTTGATACAATGTCCCATTTCTGTTTCCTTCCACAAGTCTGAGACTACAGCCCTGAATGCCCAGATCTAAAAATAATGCAGTGATAAATAATAGTTATTAAAAACAGCTTCCAATCTGTCTGGTTTCAATTTTTAAGTTTTTCCCAGTAGAATAAATTATAAATGTAAGTCAARGTAAAAATGGGCTGCAGTTTTCAAAACAACTGATCACTTGAAAAGTGTCCATTCAGCTTGCTGGTTACGAATACAAAAAAAACCCAGTCAGATTGCAAAGGAAAAAGTTCCTTGTTTTTGTGTAATTTGAAGTTGCTAACTAGTCACAGTCGAGGGAGATACTACATCAAAGAAATGGTCTAAGGTTATCTTGTGGATACTTACCTCTTGGTAGTCCTAGCTTACTTTACAGCTGTGTTTTACTTTTTGAATTTATATTTTCTGGAGCTCTAAATCTATACACAGAAACAAAACAAAGTGCAGTCATTCTCCTTTTTAAGTGTTTGGAATAAAGTGCAACGTCCTTAGTAGAGCCTCGGTTACATAAATGTGCAGTATAGCTGAGGGACTTGTGTTTAAACATGTTAGAGATTATAGTTTTGAATCTGTAGCTGTCT